GAGGAAAACTACAAAACTCAAGTTTCGAAGTCATGTGATCATAATAATTGGTGATGTGTATGATTATGAACAGCAATAATGATGAATTGTGTTCGAAACAACTTTGTCATCCAGTAAATACTCTAATACTGTTTCACTCACTGACTGACTGTGTGTGATACATCCATCTAATAAACAAACTAATATGGAATTACTTACTACCACCACAGTACCCAAGCCCCCTTTACTCTCTCTTATCTTGCTTTGTTTGATACATGAAGTGTAATAATAGCAACTTGAACTGCTGCATTTCTGTGCAAATTCCTAATGTGTTGAATGTCTGTCAATAGGTCTGTCGATGTCCAGATGTTGTCTAACTTCATCAGTACCATGCGTTTCCTACTTCAGCTGGAAATCATTCTCAAGACAATTGCTGTCGGGAAGTAATTTAGCAAAGAATAAAAATGACTGAATCCCCTCTTATACATAGAATGCACACAGCCATATCACACCCAACCCAACGTGTTTTATGGGGCCCCGTTTAGTGAATCAGAACTCGACTACAAAGGAACAGATTTCCCAATCATTAGAACAAGAGCCACACACATATTTGACTAGAGAGAGAGAGAGGTTGAAAATGCATTGAAGTATGTGAAACTGGATTCGAATCCAGGACTCACATTGACTGGAAGTGGACTGTCTGTTTGTATGTTTTCGACATAGAACTTTGCACCGATGTGCACCAGTTCAAGTCACCCCACACTCCCTCCATGTAGCACACAAAGCAAGAGAAGAAAGTAGGAGAAATGCATAATAGAGAGAAAGTAAACACAGAGATGTGGTGAGACAAAGGAATAGTAATAACGAAGAACAAAACAGTTTCATTGGAAATCATGAGTCACAAGGAGTGGATGCATCCACGCCGGCCAACCATTGAGAACGATGAGTTTGAGCCATATCATCACCGATTGTCTCTAGCCTTCATTGGTTTTTACCGTCCCGAGGACCCCAACCAGTCAGGAAGCTAGTCTACACCTTCTTACGTGGCTGGCTGAAACTAACTGTTATGGATTTCATTGACTGGTGCCATGTTTGGTTTGACCGCCGCTAGCTCTTTTCCAGCTAACATTGCTCTTTGTTGAGGAAGGCGGTGACTAGTCATGCATACGTAACACATGTCCTGACCATCTCAGTCCATGTAGCTTCACAGTCTCATCGATTGATTTTCCCAACACTCGACCGACGCCTAACCTCAATATTGCTCACCTTATTATGCCACTTCACACGGTAGATAGAACGCAGACACCTATTATGGAAGACAGCTAATCTTTTCATGTCTTCCGCTCTTAATGGCCAGGTCTCACAGCAAGCCATAAATGAGGACGGAGCGGACTGCTGGCTGAGCAGTACACCCACACTATGGTCGATAGCCAGCCAGTTAACCGGATATCACGTCTACTAAGCCAGAGAAGGCGTAAACTGGCCGGCATATACAAAACTAGCCCTCTGTGTATCCATACCCAACTGAGATTTCATCAGAGATCAACCCGTTGGCACTGGATGATGATGGTACCTCCCAAATAAGTAAAGCGGTCAGGTCAACGTGCTCCACCAACCACTTCACACACCCCATTTTTCTCAACTAGGAGGAGTCAGTGTAGTCCACCCACTTCAGTCCTGTCAGCCTCATCATCTTATCTTACATTTGACGACAGCAGCACGAGCGAATCGCTTGCATGCCAACACACATACGTAGATTGCACCTGCTCACTCAAGGTGTTCACAGAAGACCGTGTCTGCATTCATTCATTTTTTTATAGCGTCCTCGCGCCTACAAGGCGAGGTGGAATGCTAAAAGTGAGCGAATGAAAGAAGAGAGTGAGTATATATTTCACATTTATAACACAATTGGTTGTAGACAAACCCAATAACAAGAGAATATCTTTATATAGTGAAAATTTGAGTAGGGTGATATGTTTCATTTGAGAATTACAATAATAATAATAATAATAAAAGCGCTAAAATTTATACCATAAACAAAAGTAGCAAAGTACCATGACTTCCAAAATAATAAATAAATAAACAAGTCAGTCTATAAAAATAAAAATAATAATAAAACAAAACGCTGACGCTGGAGTACATATACAGTTTTCACCTGTGTAGTAAACTGTTCCCCCCCTCCTCTCTGTGTGCGTGTGAGTGTGAGTGCGTCTGGACACTCGGAGAGAGGGAAAAGAATACGGCTACCACACCTACAGTTGTAATAATCACAATACAAAAACACACAAGAAAAAATTATTGTTAGTTTTTTGAAAATAGTTTTGAAGACGGAATAAAACTAACCGGCACATTTTGGAATGCTTCGATGACAAGGCGAAGAAGAAGAACCATATTGGAAATCACAATTATGAAATTTGGCGTGTGTGTGAAGGCATGCATGCATGCCATTTGTATGATATGTTTATTTGTTTACAAGTAGACACGAGTTTCATTCATCATCACCATCACCACCCCCCCCCCAAAAAAAAAATGGAAATCAAAAAAACACTTAAGGAATGTTAATGGGGATTGGATTCGATCAGATTGAAAAAAAGGGGGATGGATTAGATGGTAATTAAACCGACGTTCATATCGTCATCACTGCCAATATCTTCATTAATCTGTATTGTAGATTCAACACCATTATTATCATTACTAGCGCCATTATGTAATCCCATCCTGGAGAATTGACCATCAATAGTCACACTAGTAGTAGTAGTTGGAGTATTTCCTCCTGACGAACGTGAGGCGGCGGCTTGTTGTTGTTGTTGTACTGGAGACTGTGAATAAGTAACTAAGGCTGATGCTGATGACGCTGTATTACGACGTTCAGTCTGAGAGATATTTTTCCGTGGACCATACAACAGATCAGAATTTTGTGGTGAAAATCGTGGACGTGAAATCTCCCGTGGAGGGAGACACATACTTTGATCTGCTGGTCGTATGGTGATTATTAAATTCGAACTATTGGCAACCATCATATCATTCACCTGGTCCAATGACTTTCCGTAGACTTCAATCCCGTTGACTTCAATGATTTCATCATTGACAGCTAACAGGCCTGTATTGTAAGCGATACCATCTTCTGTTAGACGAGAGATAAAAAACGCTGGGACTGTTTCATAGCCATTT